ATACTAAATGAACTAAAAGTAACCATAGACCCCCTAGGAAATGGGGATTTGCGTGTGAAGTTGGCAAAAAAAGTATGAAGCTTTAAAGGTCAACCTTGTTGTCAACTACAGTGGCGGATCCAGAAATTTTGAAAAAGGTGAGGGCGACCAGCTAAAGGTCAGGGTAGGGGCCCGAAGTCACACACAAAAAAATGGATTTATCAAAATATTTAATATTGTGTATTTTTTGGACACTAAAGGGGGGGGGGTCTGGGTCCCCTCTAAATCCACCAGTGAACTATGCCCCTCCCTACGAAATAGGTTTTTCATGTTTGGGAAACGACATCCCCCTTTCCCCTGGAAAAAAAATCCTGGATCCGCTCCTGTCTTTATATCTTCGTAAAGGGATTGTAGATGAAAGCAAATAACTTTTTGATCCTGGGTTTAAAGTAATAAATCCATAACTGATAATCTCCCGAATTCAACTAAGTCTTATCAGCCAGATTGCCACTAGTATTGAATCAAATTTATGTAAAATATGACAGGAGTCAAGTATTTGGCTGTGTAGTTGGTTTATTCCCACTCAGCCAAAATTCTGAATTTTTTATTCCCATCGAGCCAAAATTGGGATTTTCACACCTGAGAGGTCACCTGTGTATAGTCTGTTTTATCACCTGTACTTATTACCTGTGATGTTTAAGTTCAATATCAAAATACATATCATAAATACTTGATTATATTATAATTAATAATTAATTAGGTTCTACATATTAATAATTTTGAAATACATAATGGTATGTTTATATCAATATCATTTTTAAAAAGAAACTTAGGATCATGTTTTATGTAAAGAGAATTTTGAAAAAATTATAAAACAAAAATTAATTAATTTACCCATTTACAGAGAAATCTTTTTGACAATACACTAAAATTATTTAATGTATTTGGATCATTACTTAAAGTCAGAGATTTTAAGCACTGCCTTCAAAAATACCTGGTTTGGGTAGCCCTGTCAATCAAGTGCATGAAGGTCCATCATTGGATGCTGGAACTTGATGGACATTTACATACTGGTCTCTGTGTATACCCTGTGCATCTTGTTTGGGATTTGTGGTGACCTTCTAATTAACTTTTGATCCTTTGATGTTAACTGATCAGAACATACTAGTATACAGAAACTGTATAACCATGAACATTTTTAGATTAATAATAAATGAATTAAATATACCTTTAGTATTTGAAAGGATTATAATATAATATGCATTTAAAAAACAAACTTTGGTACATTTTTTTTCAAAGGAAATTTCGATATTGATTTTAATATTGTATGCTAAATGGTAAACCTAATGTGGAAATGTTATTGATTACATTCAAAGAAGCACTGTGTAAAGTAATTAAATTAAAAAATAATGTTTCTAATCATGGGTCAAAAAAAAAAACAGTACAAAGATTCAAGATTTCAAAGACATTTATAATACCGCACTTTTCATTCACATGTATTTTTAAAATATCTGTGATACAAAGTATATATCTGTGATACAAAATATATTGAAATTCGCGCTTAAAATTATTTTGCAATATCAGCATTTAATAAGTAGATTTTAACCTATTTCTTGTGGTTAATCTTCAACAGACTATAGGTCACCTGTAACTAATTATGTTCCCCAAACGAAGTTGGGGAACATATTGGTTTTACTCTGTTTCTTATTATTATTATTATTATTATTATTATTATTATTTTTCTTCTTCCTAGGAAAATTTTGTCCACGAGTGATCTTGTAAACTACACATTGGACTAAGGTAAAATGTTTTTAGGGTCAGTAGACATGTTATGTAGATTTGCCCACCAAAGGTCATTTTGCGCGCACGTGCTTGCAAGAGCGCGCACGTGCAACACGTGAAATGACCAATATAATGTATATTGCCGTAACTTTTCTATTTTTTGATGAAATGTTTTGAAACTCATAATGTAAGGATATATTAGTAGTATAGAAGAGATGGCATGTTCAAAATAGCAAGATCTCACGCGCATGCACGTGCGCTTAGCTCTGATTGGCTGAAACTAAAGTCTCAATATCTTTCTTGTTTCTTGTCATAATCATTTGAAATTTTGAACATAGTCCTACATTATGAAGATCTACAGCATGATATATAAAAATTTTCATGAAAGCATGCGCATGCGCGCGTGCTGCAATCTGATTGCCTGAAACATTAAATGGCTATATCTCCGTTGTTTTTGGATGAAATGCTTTGAAATTTAAAACATAGTCATGCATTAGGATATCCTACAATATGTTATAGAAAAAATTTATGAAATCACGCGCATGCACGTTTGCTGCAATCTGATTGGCTGAAACTTTAAATGGCTATATCTCCTTTGTTTTTAGACGAAATGTTTGGAATTTTGAAATATAGTCATTCATTAAGATAACCTTTAATATGATAAAGATAAAAATTCATGAAATCACGTGCATGCATGTGTGCTGCAATCTGATTGGCTGAAACCTCAAATGGCTATAACTCCCTTGTTTTTTGGATGAAATGCTTTGAAATTTAAAACATAGTCATGCATTAAGATAACCTTTAAGATGATAAAGATAAAAATTCATGAAATCACGTGCATGCAGGTGTGCTGCAATCTGATTGGCTGAAACTTCAAATGGCTATAACTCCCTTGTTTTTTGGATGAAATGCTTTGAAATTTAAAACATAGTCATGCATTAAGATAACCTTTAAGATGATAAAGATAAAATTTTATGAAATCACGCGCATGCACGTTTGCTGCAATCTGATTGGCTGAAAATTTAAATGGCTATATCTCCTTTGTTTTTCAACCAAACAGGATATAGATAAATATAGAACATAGATAAATATAAGGGACTCCTACAAGAAGGTGTAGTCATCATGCACGTGCGTGCACGTGAAATGAGTTAAATTAAAAATACACTCGAGTGAGTGCAATTTTTAATACTTTTGGATTTAATGCTTGGATATTAAGTATATAAAAATATATAGATAGTGTAGACAAGATAATATGGTCGTTACGCACATGAACACGCGTGCAATGCTTAATTTTAAATATATTTTGTATTCTTCTGGGAAGACCTTGATTAAGTCTAAATTCCATAAAGTATTTCTTATTTAATAGAGATTACAGGGAATATGGCACCAAAAGGGAGTTGGGAGCGTTTGGGGAACATCTGTAACGGTTCCCGTTACAATTAGCACTAGTTTCTTTTGTTCTCTCCCTCCCCCTGCCTGTACACCATTCCCACCTAGCCAAAACCAGTCACCTGTGACATTTTCAGAATTTTGGCTAAGTGAAACAAAGGTGAAAATCTAGTACACAGAAACAAGTTAAACACATGTTTCACAAAGTCGTTATTAGACAATTAAAGGGTGGAATTGCAGTAAAACAGGTAAGCGAAGATAATTGAAATCTATAGATTTTATTTAATATGTTTAATAATACAATTCTGCATAGGAGGTGTGTCTATGATATTGATATATTTGCGGACAGTTATTGCTATGGACGCTTAATAATTTGTTACGGGGGTTAACTCGTTCACTCTACTCTTAGTTCGAGACTATTCATTTATGTATCAGATTATACAATGTACATTTATTGCATGATAGGAAGGGAGACATGAAGATTTCTTCGCCCAAGAAAAAATCATATTCCCCGAGGGCAAACTGATTTCATTGTTGGTATTTTTCTGGTAAATATCAAATCATTTTTTCCACCGAAAGTGTCAATAAATGCTTTTTTTTAAAATATAATCTGGTTTTGAAAACAAACAAACAAACAAAACACTGGAGGCATGATTGCACCATTTTCATCAACGAACTTCTCTTACAGACAGATTAAAATGTAAAGAATAAAATTACAATTATCTTACGTATTTTTGTTTTAGTAGTGAGTAAGACATTATTAAAAATTTGGATAAAGTTACCATTTTCCACCTCAGAAACACGCTGACTCTATCCGTTGCAACAATTGTTTCCAACTTTATTTTAAGGTACGTTGTAACATCACAATCAGACGCAGTTGTCTATATCAAAAAGCTTAGTTTTTAATTCAATTTGTTGTTATCAATGGTTAAAAGAGTAGAAAAGTCATACGTTTTCATGCTATGGACTTTTGAGGCATGTTACAAAAGTTTTTTAAAGATCATTTGAGGACCCATATCTGATATACACCATTTGTAGAATAAGTTTTAGCACAGTACGTTTGTAATTTCTCCATAAAAGCAATCAATATTTCGGTAAGGAATTAATTAGGATAAAGGCTTGATAGCGCATTTGCTTGACCTGGAATATACCTTTGTCTATAGGGATTTTATGAAGTTTAAGAATTCATCATACATCATGTTTATACTAAATTTTATTTAAGTTAGATGAAGTAATGGATATAACGAACAGTATTCAATATCTAAGTCCATAACACAACCTAAAACAAAACAATGTTGGATCCGCTACACTAACATATTAGTAGTGAGCAGATCTAACATCTTGTTTTAATTACACTGTAGATTGTGTTTTACTTAGTAGCTAAGGTAGATCATATTGATTGAACAGAATATTAAAAGATGATTTGGAACAATTCTATCCTTGGAAAGTGAACTGCGAGCATATGTAAGGTTTCTAGAAGTAGAATTAATACAAAGTTTTCCCGAATATAGTCATCAAACAAAGACGGTTTTGTGAACAATAAAGGTATGATAAGTAGGTTTATGAACCATTGCGTTTGTATAAATTATATAGTGACTATAAATAGATTTTATAATAAAGTATTATACAGCACATGACAGGCAATTATTTTGACTCCCTTTCCCTTCACAAAGCTTTTCCCTCTATTCCAACATTGTTTTTGAACGTTTCCTACAATGATATCAGTTTTATCGTGCAAATTTACCATTTTTTACATTATTATAATCACAAAATATAATCTAACGTAGATACTGGATTTCTCTTGCTAGGCAATCTGTTTCACATAACATTTTTTTTTTCTTTTTCAGACATTTATATATCAATTATGAACTACATACTATTATTATGTGTTGCTACGTACTTGGTTACGATTGCATTTGGGTCTGATGTCATTAGTGTGGTGGAGGTCATGACCCCCTCTGGTTGGGTAAGAGGATACGAAGAACAACATGACGAAGGGGAGGTGTTCAGATTTATTAAAATTCCATATGCTCAACCTCCGATAGGGGAATTACGCTTTCAGAAAACAAAACCCATCGGTGAGTGGGACGGAGTCGAATGAATTCGAGATGTAAATGCTCCACAGTGTCCTCAAACAGAATATCCAATGCCTGGATTTGATGCATTGGAAACCGACGAAGATTGTCTATACCTTAATATATATGTACCTGGCAAAATTTCTGAAGAAAGAAATCTGTCTGTTATGGTTTATATTCCTGGTGGTGGATTTATATATGGTGGAGCTAGTCAGTATAAACCTCAGAAGCTAGTTCTAGGAGGAGATGTTATCGTCGTTACCATTAATTATAGACTAGGTCTCCTTGGGTTTCTCACATTGCATGACCCTCTTGCACCAGGAAATTACGGACTATGGGATCAGATTGAGGCTTTAAAATGGGTTCAGAACAATATTGCAGCCTTTGGAGGAAATCCTAAATCTGTTACTCTATTTGGTGAATCAGCAGGAGGCATGAGTGTGAGTCTTCTGACATTGATTCCATCAAACGAAGGACTTTTTCAAAGAGCTATTTCACAAAGTGGAGTTGTTTCGTTCTTTTCCATTTCGAGGAGACGAGAAGAAGACCAAACCAATAATTTGTTACTTAAGAAAACAAATTGCACAGGTAAAGGAAATGTTACAGAAACATTGAAATGTCTAAAAGACATACCTGCGGAAAATTTTCCAGCGGCAATATCCATGATGGAATTTGTAAAACCTTTAAATTTAACTTTTGAATTAGGAAGTATGGTTCCAACAGTTGATGGTGATTTGTTTAAAGATCATTTGGCTTATCCAAAGTCTTGGGATGACGATGTTTATCGCTTTTTCCGCAGTATTGATTTCATGTCAGGAACTTTAGACGGAGAAGGGGATTCGATGTATGAGATGTTATCTCCAGAAACACAGGAACATTTCAAATTCAACTCATCAGAGCGGGTTCCTGTAAGTGTTTTATGTGAAATGTTGGCACCAGGCTTCGTTGATACTGTTGCGGGAAATCTTCCGGAACTTACTCAGGAGATATGTGAGTTTTATACTACCTCTGAAGGAGATGATGTGCAGAGTATGAGAGTTGCCGACTTTCAGGGGGATTCGTGGTTTATTGTACCAAGCAACATCATATTAGAAATTCACGCTAAAAACAATAACAATGGTAAAACATTCCAGTACTTAATTACAAAGCCAACTCCATTTCCTTTCACTGATCAAGAAATACCATTCTGGTTTAAAGGAGCTGGCCATGGGCAGGACTTGCATTTGATGTTCAATGTAACCTCCAATCACGTCTCAGAAGAAACGCTGAAAAAACATGACTTACAGGCAGTAGAAAAACTGTCTAAAGACGTCATTAAGTATTGGACTAATTTTGCGAAGTATGGGTACGTCATTTTTTTCATAGGTGATCTTAATAACCAAAAGCATATATTCTTTCGAATATGAAAGAGAAAAAAATTGCGTTTATTCATATCTGGTTTTTAACATTTCTTTTGGAGATTAGTATATGAATACAAATTCCTAATTTTTTTTTAATTCAAAAAAAGATATTCCTATCATTTTTTCTTTTTCTTTTAGTGATCCCAATGGAGATGGCGTTCCAAAGTGGCCCTCTTTTGATACTGTCACTAAAAAATATGCAATTTTGGACACTCCAATAACAGAGGGAGAAAATCTTAAACCTGATGAAACAGATTTATTAAAAAAGGTCCTTGACAAAGGGCGACCTAATGCTATGCATGACGAGTTATAGCAACAATAATTTTGAGATCTGGCTTATCATAAATGTCTTAAAGTATTTGATGTTTGGGGGGTTGGGGGGTTGGCTTCATTTAAGATATCTTTAATTCAGTTATTAATTTAAAAGTGCTGATTCTGTCCAATAAAAGTCACTGCGTTTACCAATTTTTTTTTTTTGTATTTATCCATTTCTATTATGTTTCACTGTTTCCTCTTATTCGTGTGTTGATGTATGTGTTTAACAAAAATAAAACACTCAAAGTAAAATCAAATATGTTATATATATTGTTTTATAGATGTATATATCATTTTATGCATCACTGATGGAAGAGCTGGCTCCATTGTTAAAAATCTATGTTCGTGGCTTGCTAAGTGACGTTCGTGGAATAAGTTCATAAGAAATAAAGGAAAATATATTCAATAAATGTAAATATAAAATGAAAATATAACAATTTCTAAAACGAGGTAAATTATTGACAAACAAGTTGATGAAACACAAATATCAGCAGTCTCGTTTAAAGTCATCATTTTGTAAGTTCTATGGTCGATACAATGACCTTGTCAGCAAATACAATTCATCATTGAGTCAAATGCTGACTTTTTCACACCTATTGTTAGTCCATTGAATTGATGACGGGTTTTTCCGTTATTTCCCGATCATGACAAGGAGCACATGGCGGGTGTGACGGGTCGGCGGGGGATGCTTGCTCCTCAATGGCACTTAATCTCACCTCTGATGATTTGGAGGTCCGTGTTTGCTCTGCTCCTGATTTGTATTGTTTTATGGACTTTTGATCTTGAATACTATGTGTTATCTCCATATGTTTCATTCATTATTTCATGGTTGAGGGAAATATGTACTCTATAATAAAGTACTTCGAAATGATGCTAAACTTTGTACACGGAAATATTTTGATTTAGAGTGATCTAAACCCTAACTTTATTTTCAGATTAGAAGATAGAATATAACTATGGACTCTTTCAGTGGTGAAAATGGTTTAATATTCATCAGAAAATAATACTTTTGGCCTAGGCGACGTTAACAATATTGATAGTTTTCCAGTGAACATCAAATTACTAGTATATTTACCACCGAAAGTGTTCATAACAGCTTTTTCGTATACCGGATTTGAAAAGAAAGAAACATAACATGATTGTAGATGAGATGAAGTTATATAGCATTGTTTATCAAATTTTAGGGTGAAAGAAACACGCACGTTAACTCTCGATTCCCGCCTACATTTTGGAACCATTTAATTCAATATGAATAGCAATTTGGCCATAAAATCTTTGTTTAATACAAAGAACAGTTCAATGGTAATTGATAAATTGTCTTAATATTAGCGCTAAAAAGTGAATAATCCATAATTCCAGCTCTTGAAAAAAAGGGGGGTAGACGATATTTTCCATTGAAATCGGAGTTTCAAGCATCACCGTAGTTTGAAATAGTCTTGGATATGATTAAATTTTCCTTGTATCTTTTCTTATGTTTTAGGCAAATAAATAAAACATAAATATTTCAATAAAATATAATGTTTCAGTTGTATATCGCTTTGAAATTGGTGGAAAATAAGCATTTTATCGTTTTTTGTCAATAAACATATGTCCCCCCCCCACCCCCGTGTAACACAAAAAGCTTTGGTATATTACCTGTAAAAAGGAATTTTTGTAACACGGGGGGAAAGATGTTTTAAAAATATTTTCCGTTTTCCATTGATTTCTATGGTGAAAAACACAAGTTTTACCAAAATTTTAGAGTTATCTCTCTTTGTTTTCCCAAATAAGTGATGTTTTATGAAAATCCATATATAATTATCTATAAAAAATATTAAAAATTCATCGAATATGTTAACTTTTGAAAATTGACTTGGAGGTAGGCGTGAGAACAATACTATCGCAGTTCTTTGACAAGTTTTGCATTATATATGAATATGTCGACAAATCAATCCTATTTTGTGCCAGTAACTATGTACATGTATTATAAGTAAAAGAGAAATTAAAATGTCTTGGCTTTGTCAAATTATCATCAGTAATATATATTTGGGTTTTCTGTATAGAAGTGTCTTGTACAGTCTTTGACAATGACTGCTTGGATCCATGTGGCATGTGATAGGAATTCCGAGCGCGTTCGATTTTTATTAATTTCATTCTCTGGTCATGAAAATGAAATATTTGTCTTTGTTTAATTTATATATAAATTGGAAAGACGAGAGATGATGCATAAAAAATATTTGGATGGGTTATAAAACATTTACAGAAAATATTTAATGACAAAATTAAAACATGAAAAAGAAACTGAAGCAGAAATGATTAAAGAATACCAAATGGGAAGAAAAACAAATAGTCAAGTTAATTATAACAACAATTTAGATTTCCTATGATTTGACAAAGGTCTGTATGTGGACAGACATATAGAGAATTGAAGCGTACTATGCACCCCCTTCCCTGGCTCCAAAAATACCTCTTTCTAGAATTTGTTTAAAAATATTTCAATACCCGATATATACCTGTTAACAATTTCTCAGTCTGAAGATACGTTTATATTAAACATGACCAAATAAGTTCATTTACCAATATCTTTTCGTAAACTGGTTTTACTATTTCATATGTTTGATATAAAACCTGACCAAATAAGTACATATGCCACATTTCCTTAAAAGGAAGCTATGTAGTTCGTGTCTAAAAATACCCATTCAACTCTTTTTGAACAAAGGTTAAAATTCAGAACGCCGAGTCTATTTAAATAACACAGATACAGCTTGCTCAATCGTTTTTATGAAGCCTCCGAAAGGTTGCAAGGTGTAACAGATCATCACTGCGAATCGGGTAAGTTAGCAATGATCAAACCTCTAGACATCATAATATATGTCAATTTTTTTTTTCAAATCTGCAAACGAATTTTTAATGTTCAAATGTCGGTTAGGTAAACAAAATCTTACGCCTACTGTCTATCAGTGTGGCACGAGGAATAACTCTATTCTCGTGTATAGTAAACAAAGCCGATCTATTTTTAAATGATTTCGATGTACTGTCTTAATGGTTTTAACGATTTTTTTGGTTTTTGATGGAATTTATTCAGAGCTTGGAGAAATGCATTTGTGGAAACATTCTTTTCACCACATTTCGTTTTTCTTTCGAAGTTTCTAAATAAGACCCTTTGATCCGCTCCCGTAGATCAAGATGCATGTAGTGATTAGATCAATGATAGGAATCTGCTGTATGCTATAAAAAGGGGACATGTAACATTTCATTTATTGTGTTTCATTGATTTGAATGATCATTTTTAAAATTTTAAGTAGTGTATACTTTTTTTTGTAATACTCCTATGAATATATCTTAAGTTTTATTAAAAATAGTTAATTATTATATTATGATAAAAATGTTTCTTTTCAATATTTAAAATCAGTATTTTATAAACCGGTATAAGAATGTTTGAATATGTGTAGGAAAAAGTCTTTGCTAATACTAAGATTAATTTTACTTTTTTTATGTAAAAAAAAAAATTAGCCTCCATTTCTGAAGTGGATCACAGCGTTTTGAACACCACTGAGTCATAATCTTTCATTGCAGATGTACTTTTTAGTCTAGTTGCTTTCCAATGCGGTCTTAATGCCCCTTTCTTAGTATTGTATTCAAAATATTCACATACATTGAAATGGTTTTATTTTCCTTTACACTAAATCATAAAAATTGTAATGAAATATAATGATAATAAACAGTAAATAAGATTTAAATTCCTTTTTAGAAAGAATATAAATTTTGCGCAGAACAAAAAAATGACACTTAAATATGTATTCATTTTAAGAGTTTTAATGACAAAAGTAAGATTCAGCTATGATCACGTATGTATAGGAGGAGGTATTAGTATTTTTAAATGTTAACCATGATTTCCTTTTGCTAAATCTTAAAGACTCTTCATGCTGCATTTAGACATACACATACCCCCAAGTCAATCTGAAAATATAACCCTGAAATTCATGTTCAAAATCGTTCATTTTAAATAGATTTTTAAAATACGAAACATATGGAGATAACAAACAGTATTCAAGACCAAAAGTTCATGAAACAATACAAAATAGGAGCGGGACAAACAAGGACCTCCTAAACCTCAGAGGTGGGATCAGGTGCCATGGAGGAGTAAGCATCCCATACTGAGTGTTTAATTGTTCTTTGTGACAATGTATCTTTAAGTGATGCATTTGCTTCATGATAGGCCTAGGTAAACTCGGTTTCGTTCTCGGTTGGCACATCACATCAAATCAAAGACGTAAACATTGGCAGTGACTTTCATCTGCCAAGTGCCCGGTATAAGAAGTGAAAGTCACGGGACTCTCCGATTATGCTTTAAAACCCAGTTCTCAGGTCAAAACAGACATGGCATGATAAAGAACCTTGCTACTCAACTCTGATTGCCAAGAATATATCTAAATTTGAAGTCTTTAGTCTATATGTAAGAAAAATTCTCGAATGGGTTGGTAAAAAATACGAATGGTCAATTTTGCATCCTTGCTAAACTAATCCTCTTTTTCAGGCATATCAACATAAGAAATGGACCATTTTCCATTAATATATATCGGGTTATGTATGGTTTCTTTTGCGTTTGGATCTGATGTCATTAATGTGGTAGAGGTCATGACCCCATCTGGTTGGGTAAGGGGATACGAGGAACTACATGACGTAGGACAGGTGTACAGATTCGTAAAAATTCCATATGCCCAACCCCCGATAGGAAACCTACGTTTTGAGAAAACAAAACCTATTGGAGAATGGAAAGGGGTCAAGGGAGTTCGAGATGTAAATGCTCCTCAATGTTCTCAAACAGCATATCCAGTGCCTGGATTTGATGCATTGGAAACTGATGAAGATTGTCTATATCTGAATATATATGTACCCGGCAAAATTTCTAAGGAGAGAAATCTGTCAGTTATGGTTTGGATACATGGCGGGGGATTTGTGTTAGGCGGAGCTAGTCTGTATAAACCTCAGAAGCTAGTGCTAGGAGGGAATGTTATTGTCGTTACCATTAATTATAGATTAGGTCTTCTGGGATTTATGACACTAAATGACCCTCTTGCACCAGGAAATTACGGACTTTGGGATCAGATCGAGGCTTTTCGATGGATTCAGAATAACATTGCAGCATTTGGAGGCAATCCAAATTCCGTTACTATATTTGGACAGTCAGCAGGTGCTATGAGTGTAAGTCTTCAAACCTTAATCCCATCAAACAAAGGGCTTTTTCAAAGAGCCATTTCACAAAGTGGAGTAGTTTCATTTTTTTCTTTTTCAAGAAGAGAAGAAGAAAAACGGACCAATGATTTGGTACTTAAAAAATTGAATTGCACAGGAAAGCAAGATGTTGCAGAAACTCTGAAGTGTTTGCGAGACGTCCCGGCAGAAAATATAACAGCGACAATAGACGGGATATCAATGGAATTTCAGAAACCTTTAAATTTAAGTTTTGAACTAGGTAGCATGGTTCCAACAGTTGATGGTGAATTGTTCAAAGAACATTTGGCATATCCAAAGTCTTGGGACGATGAAGTTTATAGCTTTTTCCGTAGTATCGACTACATGTCAGGAACATCGGATGGAGAAGGAATTATGTTGCATATGATGCTTTCTGCAGAGATTCAAGAACATTTCAAATTTAACGTGACCGAACGAGTACCCGTAAGCGTTTTATGTGAAATATGTGCTCCATTATTTGTAGAAACTGCTGCTGGAAATATTCCGGAACTAACTCAGGAAATATGCGAGTTTTACACTACATCTAAAGGTGACGATGAGCAGAGTATGAGAGTGGCTGATTTTTACGGTGACTCGTGGTTTATCGTTCCTGGCAACATCGTCTTAGAAATTCGTGCAATAAACAATAATAAAGCTAAAACATACCAATACTTAACCACCAAACGAACTCCCTTTCCTTTTTTTCCAGAAGCACCAGCCTGGTTAAAAGGAGCTGGTCATGGTGATGAACTGCATTTATTGTTTAACATAACTCACGATCATGTCCCAGAGGAGAATTTGAAAAAACACGACTTAGGAGCTGTAGAGAAGTTGTCAAAAGACGTGATAAAGTATTGGTCTAATTTCGCCAAGTATGGGTAGGTATTAAATTTTAGAAAACCATATCTTTGCCTACTTTTTAATATAGAAGAAAGGCGGTTTTGCTTATATTAACTTTTATTATCCAAATTTCTATTTAATGGTTCCACTCTTGTGAAGTTTTTCTTATTTTTATTTTTTCTAGTGATCCCAGTTCAGACGACGTTGAGCAATGGCCTTCTTATGATACTAACACCAAGAAATATGCTATTTTGGACACTCCAGTAAAAGTGGGTGAAAACCTGAAACCGGAAACCACAGATCTTTTAAAAAGAGTCATTCTTAAAGGACGATCAAATGCTAAGCATGATGAATTATAGCAAAAATAGTTATTAATTGTTTTGTAATGATCCCTTTCCATGACCTGTCACTTATCTACGAGGGTTGTCCCAGAAATACGCAAACATTTTCAAAATATTTTTATTACCTTATATTTATAGTGTTCAGATTGGCATGAATCATTATCAAAATTATTTACAAGAATGAATTTTGCATCATTCTTTAGTGCTCCTGTATATGAGATAGCTTTAAATGTTTGTATGTTTTTATTTATCATCATTAAATTTTTCGTTCTTTTGAAACCTATATATTAAGCTCATACGCAATTAGTTGTACCAAAGAACTGATGAATTTTTTTTAACCAAAGACATAAGAATAATTTAAGTTTCGTACTTTTGAAGAAATACATAATTTAAAATCATTTTTATCTCGCACTAAGAATACGAGACATAATGACGTAGGCTCCAATCCAAACCCTGGATGCATAGCTTGAAATAAATATATTTTTCTGGACTTAATATGGCAGTAAATAACGTATAAATAAGTCGGCTTTGAACAAAATATAGTTGAAGATTGACTTGTAATTGATGTGTATATCGAGACTTAATTTGGTTGTAAATGGTGTAGAATGGAATGTTTTAAATATTGAATAAATAAAGATTTACTGTTGTCATTTTTCCTTTTCTATACTATGACTGTCTTTTTTTTTTTTTTTTATTTTTTGTAAATGAGATCCTTTTAATGAAGGCCATGCTTCTTAATTAAGATATAAGTAATGATAACAATTCATTTTATATTTTGATGATTTTTTTCCTGATCAATTTTTTTATACCTGCAGTCAGAACAAAAAAATTTCAACGATATATACCAGCTTTGCAAATAAAAGCAAAATCAAGACCGGTTAAGCGCCTATTTAACATTTTTGAAAGTCTTTTTTTCATCTGGACAATCAGCGCTATATACTCCTGAAGAAGCAACCTCGCTGCTTTATGACCCTGAGTGCCGATTAAAGATCTAAATTTAAAGTCCTTCAGCGATGTAAGGTGTTCTACGTCTCTACGTGATTGAAAAAATTCTCAAAAGTGACATGCAAAAATAAACAATCAATCAAAGGAGATTATGAACCTCAGAAGCTTTAAACTTCATTCATATGTTCAATTAAAGGTTGCCCAATCTCAGAATACAATTAATTAACTTAAGATTTGTATGAGACAAACTAAGTCCTTTTCCATTTCAAAGTAAATTTTAAAAATACTACAACAGACATTATACTGTTTTCAAGATAAAATGCTTTAGTTTACCGATCCCTCCTTTTATAATCTATCTACGGCGTTGTATTCATTATTTGAGTATTAATTGATATTGAACTATCTAAATTAAATGTATCTTAGATAAGAGACGGATATTTAAGGATACCCAGACCTTATGTTACGTCAGAACAAAAAACACAGGATATTTTGTTGAACTCTTAAACTTCCCCGGAATTTCTGGTATCCTGTATACTTATGCGTCATATTTTTTTTAAAAGTACACGGTCCCCTACTTCCGAAATTGACACGAATTACAAGCCATTGAATAACATTTCCCTATATTTCTTAAAATATTTCGCCAAGAATATGACTTTAATTTTATAAACATTGTTTCAATTTTGTGTATAAAATGTTTATATTCCTTTAACATATACACGTGATATTTTTTCGAAATATATTTGCATACATTTATTTTTCTGGGTTTTTACATAATGAAACGCATTTTGTGACAAAGTGTAAAAGGTGACTTTTATTTTCGTACATGCATATATCTGGAGAGATAAAATAATATACAGTTATTGAGTAAGTTCGAGGGCAACATGCGTTTTTTCGGTCCCTACACCCAAAATGTCTGCCGGGCAAACGGTCGGCAAAACACATTTTGCCCGAGAACATTGTCAATAAATGTTTCGTTTACCTTTCATTCTATTTTTTAACTTACATGTATTTTGTACTTCCATGATGTAACTTCAGGTCTGTCACTTTTGAACACCAGCGAATGAAAATGAAATTTAGCTCCGCCCATTCTGTGACGTAAGTGGTCCAACATCTCACGACCGGTCTAACATCTCATTCAGTGGTCCAACATCGATTTTTTTTATGCCCGCTCAGCAAAACATTAGAAATGTTGGACTTTTTTCATTAAGATTTGTAAAGGAACAAAGTTTTAAAGATATACAAAAACAAATCAATATGACAGAAATACTTATAAATGTACAATTCGTGTTAAAGTGTATTGTTATACCCTTATAAATATCAATCTATATATTTATTACTTATAAAAAGTCCAACAAAAGAACTGTTTATTACATCGGTCTAAAAATTTCACTATTGCCCGGTCTTACATAAGAATTGTTAGACCGCAACGTCACTCGTCTGTTACGTAACAAGTAATCAATCATCGTTCAATATCGGCGACGCGAAAATAGCCGAAGTTAAAACCACAAGAGTTGTTGCTAACAGCAAGGTAAGGAAGAAGGGAAGAGTATGTTTTGTGATAAATAATTTTTGTGATAATCATACAAAAGATATATAATTGATTTTGTTCTTTCTCAGCTTGATGTTTTATATTTATTTAAGAAGCCATAATTTTCCATATAAAATAATTGATAATGTAGCGTGTATTGATTAAATTGATTAATCTTAAGTGAGTAGTGAATGGTATAACAAAACAGTTATAGACTGGGGTTCGGGCAACATATGATTTATTGGACCTGAAGGTAAAAATGTTAAATCATATGATCATCACATCATATGTTGCCCTCATACCCAGTCAATAAATGTATAATATTAAACGTTTAATGTATCTTTCATATAAGAGACATTTACAAGAAAGCCGGATCCTGACTTTATATTATCCGATTCTATCTTAAGGTATATTGTTAACCAATGCATACCCAGATTTAAATGTCAAATTCACCGATTATATATTAGCATCATTGATACTGCTTTTATTCGTTAAAGGGTCACACCACATAACAGTTTATTACGGGAAAGCGGGTTCATCGAAATAGTCAGGTAAATCTTTATTTAAGACCTTTAAAAATTTATTTGAATCTGCGAGGATTAAGTATAACAAAAATCCATCCTACTTTCTGTAAATAGGTTCGTGGAGTGTCAAAAAACACCGAAAACTTAAAAAATATTTTGCAAATTTCTGAAACAAAGTTTTACTTATCGTTAAGAAATAATTTTGTTATTTTTACAAACTATTTTAAGGTTTTGAATCATTTTTTGACAAACCTCGTATTTAACATTTGATGTCTAGACGTGTGAAATTTTACATGTAGCCGACTTATTTGAAAAAGTACATTAAATTTGTTTATGCAAGAATGCCTAATACACGAAACTGGGAATGTTCTTTATAATATTTTTAATTTAAGATATCTTGACCCATTAGAATAAATTATATTTCTCAATTCAAATTTGTATATTGGGTTTTAGAACAGCTTAACATGCAACATTAGTTTTTTTTCAAATTGAAAAAAATATTTCATAACGAATTTAAAAGCATAATATCACAAAGTTAATTTTTCCCACAATTTTAAAATACATGACATGTTTTTTGTACAAAATAGTTTATTTTTAAGCATTTTTTCCCAGGATATATTGAACGTAACTTTGAGCAAACTAAAACTGTTACCAAAAATGTATTATCGTCAGACCAATGACAGAATTATTTTATATACGTTACCTTTTTGACTGGGGAGACTAGATGGCCTAGCGGGCTAGCACTCTGTTCCTGTACTGCTATGAGACAGACTCCATGGGATACCAACTTCATACCCCAGGCTCGGGTGTGTGCGGGTATCTTTATTAAAAATATTTTTTTCTGTTCTTTTAGATTTATATATCTCCACTTTATTTTGGCAATTATTTTAGTTATTTGTGCTTTATAATAAAATTTACTTAATTACAAAGTGTATCATAAAGTTCCCGGGGTTGAAGTTGGTATCCCACGGAATTTGTGATAATGTGATAGGAAAACTCACATACACTTTAAGCCCATGTGAGGTAAAAGGATCTGAATAACTTTTTTTTCCAAATTTCCGGACTAATAGATGTTTACAAAAAATTTCTTTAAATTTCTCAAGTAAATCTTGACTATCATGCCCTATGCCTTGATACAATTCAAGGCAATTTTCGACTCTTGAAACAATTTCCTTCTATTTCAGATATTTCAACGTAACAATGCACAATGTCAAGTCCATTTCAATTGGATTTTGCTTGGTAATGTGTTCCTTTGGGTCGGATGTCATAAACGTGTTGGAGGTCAAGACCCCCTCTGGATGGGTCAGAGGATATGAGGAACGGTATAACGGGAGTCAAGTGTACAGGTTCATAAAAATTCCATATGCCCAACCCCCGGTCGGTGACCTACGTTTTGAGAAAACAAAACCTATCGGAGAATGGGACGGAGTCAAGGGAGTTAGAGATGTAAATGCACCACAATGCCCTCAAATTGAAGGTAGATATCCTGGGTTTGATACGCTGGAGAATGACGAAGATTGTCTATATCTTAATATTTATGTAACTGGACAAATTTCCGAGGATAGAAATCTGTCTGTAATGGTGTGGATTCATCGTAGCGGGTTTGTATTTGGTGGAGCTAGTCAGTACAAACCTTAGAAGCTTGTTTTAGGAGGTGATGTTATCGTTACCATTAATTATAGATTATGTCTTCTGGGGTTCATGACACTTCATGACCCTCTAGCGCCTGGAAATTACGGACTTTGGGATCAGATCGAGGCCTTACGATGGGTTCAGAATAATATTGCAGCATTCGGAGGAAATCCAAAATCCGTTACTATATTTGGAAATGCAGCGGGTGGGATAAGTGTGAGTCTTCAGACACTGATCCCATCAAACGAAGGTCTTTTTCAAAGAGCTATTTCACAAAGTGGAGTAGTTTCATTTCTTTGTTTTTCTCACGAGACGTGAAGAACAACAGACCAATGATTTAGTACTGAACAAAACAAATTGCTAATGTAAAGGGGGTATTGCAGAAACTCTTAAATGTTTGCGAGACGTACCTGTAAATAATTTAATAGAGACTGTACAGTTGTTGCAGTTTCAGCCATCTTTAAATGTTAGTTTTGTATTAGGAAGCATGGGCCCGACGGTTGATGGCGATTTGATCAAAGATCATTTGGCGTATCCAAAGTCTTGGAACGATGAGGTTTATTGGTTTTTCCGTAGCATTGGTTTTATGTCAGGAACTCTAGACGGAGAAGGGAGTATGGTGTATATGATGTTATCGACTGAAATTCAAGTACGTTTCAATTTAAACATACTCCAGTATCAGAAAAAGGTACCTTTAAGCCTTTTATGTCAAAGCTTTGCTCCATCATATGTTCAGACAGTTGCTGGAAATTTTCCGGAACACACGAAGGAAATATGCGAGTTATACACCACCTCTGATGGTGATGATAAACAGAGTAGGAGAGTGACCGACTTTCAGACCGATTTGTTATACATCGTACCTAGCAATATTATGTTAGAAATTCATGCAGAAAACAATAGCCAAGCTAAAAAATTCCAATACTTAATCACTAAACCGACTCCCTATCCATTTTTTCAAGAACCACCATCCTGGTTAACAGGAGCTGGTCACGGGGAAGACCTGCATTTGTTGTTTGGAGTGACAAGTGATCATGTTCCAGAAGAGACGCTTAAAAAACATGACCTAGGGAAAGTAAAAAAATTGTCTAAATATGTCATTAACTACTGGTCTGATTTCACCAAGACTGGGTAAGTGTTGATAGTTAAAAGCTTACTGTCGAATGTAAATTTAGATTGTTTCTATAATATCAAAACTGTTAATATTTTTCTTTTTTCTAGTGATCCGAATTCGGGACGTCTTCCAAATTGCACATCATTTGATACTCTTTCCAAAAAATATGCAATTCTGGACACTCCTATAAAAGAAGGAGAAAATCTTAAAGCTAATGCCACAGATCTATTGAAGAGAGTCATTTCCGAAGGACGATCTAACTTCCCATTCAATGAGGGTATAAACGGGAATAGCCAATGCAGTTCTCATTCAGTGAGAGTGTGTCCTGTAAACTCAATTATAGCTAAGATATATTACACAGTAATATCATTGCATACAATTCTAATGTTTTTCATGCGTATATAACTTTTTTTTTTAATTTTGTGAGTGTTCACATCAGTTTTTTTGTGTTTATACCATATCTTATTTTTAAGAAATCCATAAGATTCCGCTAAGTCTGGTTTAAGAGGATTTATGATGAATGATTATCTTCTTTCAGCGATCTTTAATACCTTCAGACACAATTATTAACTTACATTAACCAAAATGTTATACAACACCTATACTTGTAACTGGCATATTTAATCTTTATCTTTGACCAGATGACTATGATACTTCACACATCAAACTGTTTTAAACTTTTTAATATTTCACTCAAATGCTTTAAGATTGATATTAAGTAAATGCTTGAGTTTTATTGACAATATATACATTTACATGTATTAAGTTTTTAGAGATCAGGTCTGCAAACAATTTGTACGAATTTTCATACGAACCAACTGTACGGGATTATATTCTAGCAGATCTATTTTTTATTCTTGCAGTATTTTATCAAACACGCCTACAAGAGAATATGAAACACTTGTTGTAACCCTTACCTCAATATTTTGCTATTCATGCATCGAAGACGCAATATTTATATAATAACTTTCATTCATATATTGATTGTATAAATTTCCCAGTGAACTTAAAAAAGATACATCAGAATCTGATACAACTGTTTCATATTAAATGTGTTCAAAGAAAAAGACCATAAAGCATGAATTCTTTAAAATACAATATATTTCCATCTACTTAGGACTTGTTTCAAAAGTATTCTGCATTATTCCTTTCTAGTTGTAATGATATATATCCCAATGGGCTCTTTACACTTGAGTGGTTTTAGTTTGGCTATTGACTTGTGCACATCTCCAATGGTAAAGCGTTTAAGAATACATGATTTGATCAAAATTTGTTAAACAACAACAGATATAACAGTCATTATGATATGTATGAATATGTATTTTTTGAATAACAAATGTATTAAAAAGGAAGAAATTGAATGCACTTTTGAAAAATATATATAGTTGCACGATTGTTTTAAAATACGCCAATAAATGGAGAATAAACTTGAAATACCCGGTAATTAGCAGTACCATTCGTAAACAGGATTTCAAATTTTAAATTATATTTATAAAGTTTCAATACAATCTTATCAACTGTTTATGGGTTTACTGTTTCTCAGTTAATGATTCGATCCACAGGAGTCTCGTTTAAGGTCGTTCATCATTTTGCAAGTTTTTTTGGTCAATACAATGATCTTATCAGGAAATACAATTCATCTTTTATTAGTTAACATTCTGACCGACGTTTTTCTGAATAATTGTAAGGCCATAATTTACACTGAAATATATTAATATCAGCAGTTTCTTCTCATTTTTTGGATCGGATGTCCATCTCAACCATACAAATTCATAGCACATGAAACAGGACCTATAGACACCAGAGAAGGCTATGTAGATTATATAGTAAGATGTTATTTCTTTGAACTTCTCACTGTTTTCCAACTAAGTACATAATTATGATAACCAAGAGTGCCTCTCCCGAAAAAATGAAATGTTTGGCTTAATAATTTGAGTGTATAACGTCAGTCAACTTTCTAAATTTGTCGATAAGACCCTTGTATTGACCAGAAAATTTGCAAAAGGTTCACTTTTATAGACATATATAATGAAAATGCAATTTTTGAAAATCTTCTTCTCTGCTTCTGGGTATTAAAATAATCTAACAGGTCTAGAAACGTGGATAATTCTTTGCTTTTTTCTCCTTAAACTTGGAAAATAAAACAGATTTGGAAATATCACTTAAAAATTCAATAAAAGGACAAACATAGACAAATAACACCCAGTAAAGGTTTACAGATGAAAACAAATTTCAAATGTTACCTTGGTGCTGAAAGTATAACATAAACTTTACAAAAATATACCAAGCCAGGTAAACTTAAATTAATGGAAATCTGCTCTTTTGTATTAGTGAACAATTTTATGAAAAATTTGCAAAATTTGGATTTTCATCATTTTGCTTTTAGTGAGGTAAAACTGCCTTATAAAGTGGAAGTGCATTTCGCTTTGTTACTCTGATATACCTCTGGGTATTAAGTAAATAGAGTAAGTTTATACATGTAATTATGATAAGCATTATTCATAATTGTGAATTTTGTTAAAAAAAACCAAAGTTACTAGTAATTGTTTGAAAGTTGTTACACAATACTCAGGTGACCTATAAGACCCGTGGGCCTTTTTTTTTTTTTGGTCGATACAATGACATTATCAGGAAATACAATTAATCTTTTATTAGTTAACATTCTGACCGACTTTTTTCTAAATAATTGTTAGGCCATAATTAACACCGAAATACATCAATATCAGCAGTTTCTTATCATTTTTTGGGTCGGATGTCCATCTCATGAATACAAATTCACAGCACATGAAACAGGAAGTATAGACACCAGAGAAGGTCTGTGAATTATTGATATATAACAGACATTAGTTTTCTTGTAAAGCGCCATTTTAAAAAAAAGAATATAGGTATTACAAAGTGTTTGTTCCTTAAACTTTCATTTGTTTAACAATAAAAGAAATTGAGGTAGTTAGTATTACTTCTATTCCTCATCATTCAACCTTACATTTCTTACAAATCAGACCGACTATTGGGTTCTGACCTTTTTAATTACAGAAAAGCCTAAATATCTTAGATAATATCTCTTCTTCTTTCTGTTCAAAAAGATGAACATTTCATGCAAGTTTAGGGCTTATAGTTAATTGGAAATAGTATCTGCTCCAAAAAATTTACCTGCTATATAATATAATCTCTGTAGAGCATATACTATGTAAGTACATAAAGACTAACTCCAAAACCTAGGACGCCGACATTGACGCTGACACTGATTGTATAACAATCCCACCCACCCACCCCTCACACACAAACACACACTTCGTTCTGATGAGCTAAAATGTATATTAACATGAAATCGTTGATAGCTTTTAAATGTCAGACTGTTAAGTACTTGTGACATTAAAATTTGGATAAGATCAAATACACATGTGGTTTGTTTGTAAATGCGTCTTGACTAGGTGAACTTTTTAAAGTTGTCTCCCAAATTCATTGAAAATGTTTAAGAATTTTTGTCAAAAAAAAATTCTGTCAAAAAATCATTTTCTCCTCTGGTGCATAATGTTAAATAAAGTTTTTAATTTAAGTATTGGGCAGTCTGGCGTGGCATTTAAAGTGTAATTGCAAAACCAACAAAAATTTTTGAAAGGGAAATAAATTAATGAATATATGACATAGTGGTCAAAGATAAATCACGTTAAGGAAAAAAAAACAGCAGTTGTAAAAACATTCATAAGAAGGACTGGCATGTAAAAGAAAAGAAACTGATAAATAAGCTTCCATTTGGAATTCATGGAGCATCACATGTAGGAAGGTAAGGAAGATGTACGGGGTCCCTACCAAACCCCACCCTCACCCAATTACACACACAAAGAAACAGACAAATACACTCTTACACCAATCCGCTTCTGATAGCTTATAATTTGTTAACTTCTTTTGGTGTGATCAGTTTACTGCCAAATATGTACTTGTTTTAGGAAAAACAAACATTGTTAAACATTTTCCATAAATGGGCTTAATTTCTCAATCTGTGCATATATGGTTTAAATAAACCATGTTCAAATAAAGACCTCGGCGATATTTAGGTAAACAGCATTTTAAAAAGAAAGCAAGGTAATACCTAAAAATACATCATTCACCAGTTCCCTCTTGTCTGCAAAACCATTTAAAAATCACTGCTACTGCTTGCTTAGGTGCTATTTTTTTTGTAAAACTGACACAATTGTTTCTTGACATAACAGCTTTCTGTGTTGCAAAAGGTAAGTTATCAAAATCAAAACTCTTAAATTCTATTAAAGCATCTTAATTAAATTTTAGAATATGTAGGTTGTACTTCTGTAGGCAGTAAAACAGGTATTTTTTCCCTATACTTTTTAAAAAGATAATGAGCATTTATGTATAATATATAAAAATTTGATTCAGCTTGATTTTTTTTTGTTTTGGTCAAATTAAATGCGAAAAACATAGAACATATTTATCAGGGACCTTTTCCCTTTAAGTTCCTTGATAAACTCTTTCAAAATATTCTTGTACATGTATCTATCATTATCAAAATATCAAATGAAAAAAAATTAACATAAATTATAATTATTAAAATCATTTGAAGTTCAAAAGCATATACAAATTAAACATGCTTATCGTATACTCATTTTGGCGTTATTTCATTCTACCTTTTCATTTTACTTTTTTTTTAGTACGTACTAAACTATTTTCTTATGAAGAAAATATATTTTTCAGACATTTCTACATAAAAATGAACCATATCCCATTGATCTATGTTTGGATATGCACGATCGTCTTTGTATTTGGATCGAATGTCATTAATGTAGTAGAGGTCATGACCCCTTCCGGTTGGGTTAGGGGATATGAGGAACAACATAACGAGAGTCAGGTGTACAGATTCGTAAAAATTCCTTATGCCGAACCACCGATAGGAGATTTACGTTTCCGAAAAACAAAACCCATCGGAAAATGGGAAGGAATAAAGGGCATTCGAGGAGTAAATGCCCCACAGTGTTCTCAAACTCCGGCTCCAACGCCTGGATTCGATGTACTGGAAACTGACGAAGATTGTCTATATCTTAATATATACGTACCCGGAAAAATTTCTGAAGATAGAAATCTGTCTGTAATGGTTTGGATTCATGGTGGGGGATTTGTGTATGGCGGAGCTAGTCAGTATAAACCTCAGAAGCTAGTGCTAGGAGGAGATGTAATCGTCGTTACAATTAATTATAGATTAGGTCTTCTGGGGTTTCTAACATTGCATGACCCTCTTGCACCAGGAAATTACGGACTTTGGGATCAGATCGAGGCTTTCCGATGGATTCAGAATAACATTGCAGCATTCGGAGGTAATCCAAATTCCGTTACTATATTTGGGCAGTCAGCTGGTGCTATGAGTGTGAGTCTTCAAACCTTAATCCCATCAAACAAAGGGCTTTTTCAAAGAGCCATTTCACAAAGTGGAGTAGCTTCATTTTTTTCTATTTCAAGAAAACGAGAAGAAAAACAGACCAATGATATGTTACTAAGGAAAACGAATTGCGAATGTAAAGGGGATATTACAGAGACTCTAAAATGTTTGCGAGATGTACCGGCAGAAAAATTAATAGCGTCAATAGACTTGACGGAGTTTCAGAAACCTTTAAATCTAAGTTTTGTGTTTGGTAGCTTGGTTCCAACAGTTGATGGCGATTTGTTTAAAGAAAATATGGCATATCCAAAATCCTGGCATGATGAAGTTTATAGCTTTTTTCGAAGTATTGATTTCATATCAGGAACTCTAAACGGAGAAGGAAATATGCTGTATTTGATGTTTTCTACAGAAATTCAAAAACATTTTGATTTTAACCCATTCGAACGGGTTCCTGTAAATGTTTTATGTGAAATAACTGCACCATTGTTCGTAGATATAGTTGCTGGAAATATTCCGGAATTAACGCAGGAGATATGCAAGTTTTACACTACAACTAAAGGCGACGATGAGCAAAGTATGAGAGTGGCTGATTTCCATGGTGACTCATGGTTTATCGTACCTAGCAATAACATGTTAGAAATTCATGCAAAAAACAACAATGAATCTAAAACTTTTCAATACTTACTCACCAAACGAAGTCCTTATCCCTTTTTTCAAGAACCACCATCCTGGTTTAAAGGGGCTGCTCACGGCGACGAATTGCATCTTATGTTCAATGTGACTCACGGTCATGTCCCAGAGGAGACTTTGAATAAACATGACTTGGGAGCTGTAGAGAAATTGTCCAAAAACGTCATTGAATATTGGACTAATTTCGCCAAGTTCGGGTATGTTTTGATTTTATGAGGCTTATAGAAAAGTAAAACTTTACATTTTTAAAAAAGATGATATTGCATTTTTTTTAATTTCATAATATCGAAGAATGCAAATTTTGAAAAGTTTTTTGTCATTCAAAGCTTTCCATATTTTATTTTTATATTTTTCAGTGATCCCAATGCGGAGGGACTTCCAAACTGGCCTATATTTGATACTATCACCAAGAAATATGCAATTCTGGACACCTCAATAACAGAAGGAGAAAGTTTAAAAGCTAACGCCACACGTCTCCTTAAAAAAGTTTATCTGAAAGGGCCAGCAATTGATTCGCAGGATGAATTATTCAAGAGTAGTCCGTGCACATCTGACTCTGTGAACCTTAGTCCTGTAAACTCGCTTATGACTGTAACATATTACACAATAATGTCCTTGCACGTATTTTTAGTGCTTTTGCAAATTAAATAGCTTCCTTATTCTGCATCTTGTATTCATTACCTGTAAAAATTTGAAATCAGTAGTTGAAGGAAAAATAATGTTCAAATACAGAAATAACAAAATGTTATGTTTAGAAATAACAGTATTACATTCATTTTAATACTTTAATATACATCAAAATTCAATCAGTGATCTTTATAAAGTCTTCAAAAATAATGTATTTATTATTGCCATCTACCATACTCGCAAAAAAAAAAAAATAAATAAAAGGACCCCTCATATGAAAAATATAAGCAGGGTTAAGCGTCCACCAACAGTGTTGCGCAAAACAAAGAAATAATATTTATATTATATCAACACTAATTAGATATCAATCTACTGAAAATTATTTTAGAAATCAAAATAAACAAACTACACGAAGATTTTGTGTATGCAAGCAAAAAAGATAAAAGAGATGCTGTGATCGTGCTCAGTTCCCTAAATTTGGAGTGGCTATCATCCATTAATTAAAATTGACTGGTTTTTGTAAAGGCATGAGAGACTAGAGGAAATAACAGAAAAATAATATATATATTTTTTTTTAAATTGCTAACACTTTCAATTCATTTTTTTTAATCATCTAGGGGTGAACTTTTAAAATACAGTGTGTATCACAAAGAACAAAGCTAATCAGGTCAAGAGGGGGGTCTAACGCGAATTTGTGATTTATCTTTAATTTGACCTGAGGGGAGTTTTGCTGATCTAAATGCAATGTGGAAAGGTGAAACGTGTATTTGACCCAAGACGGTGAATCTTTAATTTTGTGCAATTGTGTTTGCTGACAGGCTGGTCTGAAATCTAAATATTTGCAAAAACGATTGTCCCATTTGCTCTAATTTAGGTTGTGAAGACGATGCTATGAATATCAATTACAACCTGTCTGCTTTAGACCCTGGCGAGATCTATAGACATAGAAATTTAGAAGCTAAAATCGCCTTTTTTGCCAAAGTCTCAATGCAAGGCACTTCAAAGTGTTTTTTTTTTAAAAACTTTGCCTGTATTTATTTTTAAAACCTATTTTAGTCTTGGATATTCTTGTGAATTGTTTATATACACATGTACGTATTAGTTTTATATATTTGACATAAAACATTTACATGTACATTCAGTTTTAAGACCCATTAAAATTTAATGTTATGTTCTTTGATGAATCATTTGAAAAATACTTCAGTGGTACATGTATCTTGCACCATAAACATATTTTTAAAATTCAAATTATATTATTCCATTGAAAAAAAAGAAATTAGTATGAAAGATAATTTCTGCTAATGGATGAATTCATTCATTACAATCGCATATAACATTCTGGTATTCTGACTTAGAAACAGCGTTTGATTGTGTGTTTTTTTTTTAAATCTGAATTAAATCAGTATGAGGCAAAATATATCTTTTAATATGCACCCATCATTTTAATGTTGTAAGAATACATCTTGCCTCTCTTTATTAGGTATTAATTTCTTTTTATAAAATTCAGGTCGTGACATAAAAATCATTTCTAAAAATATAAGCAATGCATCATGTCTCATACTATTTTTCATTCTAATCTAATATATAGCTCTTGACAAAAACCAATATTATATTGAAAGTTTTTATAAATATGAAATTTAGGGCAGAGGGTTACTACTTCTTAAGAGAGTTGTAAATTCATATTCAATCATTATACCAGTACGCGTGGTGTAAATATGTACTTACACGTCACTCCTGTACATGTGTTTGAATCGTTTTGGAATTTATTTTTTGTGCTCGTACAAATAACAATTTAAACGTTTGTCCAATCTTAATTCAAGATCAGATAAGGGTTGGCGTTTTGAGAGAAAACTTCTTAATACATGTACAACATTTGAAATTCATTTATTGATTAAATAATTAGAAGAAATGAGAAGAGAATAAAATGTGAAAATACAAATGCCTTAAATTCTTTAAAATGGGGTAAGACCAAGGTTTCGGAGGAACAGTGCATCCACTGAATAGACAATTTCATTTGTGTGTGATAGTAGAACAGATAAACCCCAACCCCCAGAACACAAGAGTACCCTCCGCATGGCAAAGATTATGTGTTTCATAATTCTTTAAATAGCTATTAAATAAATCATGTAATCTGTGTACAAGCTCTAATAACACATTACCAAATAAGTACATATACAATTTATCAGTTAAGGAAGAAACAGGTCGGAATCTTTAAATGCACCTTTTATTGATTCCCGTAAGTGAAAAGAGTTGAATATCTAGTACTCTGTAGATATTTAAACATAATAGATACGCAGATTTCTAAGTTGGCTTTATCATCTCAACACTAGAATGCACCGCATAGAGCTTTTCGTCGCCAAATATGGATATTTGCTCGTGATACTTAAAAGTTTTCAAAAATCTCATCCTTACATGCATTGAAACATAAAGAAAAATGTTTTTTATATTGGTATATTCATTTAAGGTTTAGAAAAAAAAATCTGTTCAACTAATAGCATTATATGAAACTGTTTATTTCTTTGTTCTTTCATTTTTTTTATTTTTCCTAAAACAGAGGATCTACATAGGCAATCCTTCGATACTATCATAAAAAATACACTATTATGGAAACTGCAAGGCCAGGTGGGGAAAATATCGAGGTGAACACCACGCTTCTATTAATATGAAGCATTTCTAAATGGTGTAATCTATGTTGTATGCATGATGAATTATATCAACAATATTTTTACCTTCTCACTAAACCAATGTTTTACTATATATTCGTATGTTTTAATATATATTAATATATCATAGCACCAATATTATTTCAAGTGATTTTGCGAAGGAAATATTTTAGATATTTTTGTGTTCATTATGGGAACTGACTTTTTTTTACCCATAATCTTTGCATTCTTTTATATATTTCATATAGAAAAACATCCGAAAATTTAGAACTAATGTTCTGATTGTACACAAGTACTCTGAAGTTGATATTATTAAGATCCTTGAATTTCTTATTAACAATGTCTATGTGTGTGGTTTTTGGAGGCCAGGTCTTTCAATAATATATTGGAATTTCCATGGTTACCAATTGCGCCCTGTTAACAGCAGATCTAATTATGTATTCATATGAGACAAAAGAATTTTTCTTAAATCTTAAACGTGAAAAAGAAAACATTTGCTATGGCCTTAAACTCGTCATTTAGATATATATAATGACGTACTGTCAATTAACAACTGGATATTTCAATTCCTATGTTCACACTTTGTATCCCGGAAAGGCTGAAATGAAGGATATGGAGATAAGAACAGTATTTAATATCAAAGTTCATAAAACAGTACAAAATAGAAGCAGAGAAAACAAGGACCGCCAAAGCATCAGTGGGTGGATTAGATGCCATTGAGGAGTGAGCCTCCCCTGCCGACAGGTCACACCCGCCGTGTGCTCCTTGTCATGATCGGGAAATAACGGAAAAGTCCGTCGACAAAGACCGCAGAGTCAGGCACATTTGTTTCATATTTATATATATTTATATATTTTACATAACGGTTATCTAATAACTAACTTAAAGCTTCATAATAAACGTGATGGCTTTAACTTTTCAATCGTCAAAAGCGTCCCTTACTTATGCAGCAATATACCTTCATCACCTTTATAACTTATCGAATTAAACAGAAAATTTTAGAAAATATTAACAATAAATCTGCTTCTTTACACCTTTAAGATATAATGGGTCTTTGCTTTATATTTAACCAAAATGTATTGTTCCATAGTTTTGATAACCAACAAAAGCTGCTTTTTCAATAAGAATGGAACTCGTAAATTTACTAACCCCTTGTCATTGGTTATTTACAAAATTATTTTGTTAAAAATCTTTTTAATTGTAGACACAAGTTCTCTGAAGTTGACATAAAGAGATGCTTGAGTTTCTGATTGACAATATCTATTTCTATGTGGGAGACCAGGTCTTCCAACAATCTATTGAGATTCCCATGGGTACAAATTGCGCCCTGTTATCAGCAGACCTATTTTTGTATTCATATGAAGCAGAATTGGTGCAAAATCTTGAGCGTTAAAAGAAGAAAACACTTCCTGTGGCCTTCAACTCGACATTTTGATATATCGACGACGTATTGTCAATTAACAATGATGATTTCCATTCCTAGGTCGATACGATATATCCTGCTGAACTTGAAATAAAATATATCACATATTCGGACACATCTGTTTCATACTTGGATATTTTTCTTGAAAAAGACGTTAATGGTAATCTAACAATCAAGGTCAATGATACACATGATGACTTTAATTATTCTATCATCAACTTCCCTTACTTATATAGCTATATATCTTCATCACCTGCATACGGAGTTAATTATATACCGTATTACAGTTGATTTTATACGCAAGAGCATGCTCTACGTATGAACAATTTCTAGAACAAGGTAAGTTATAGACAGAAAAGTTGATGAAACGAGAATATCAGGAGTCTCCTTTAGAGTCATCATTTCGTAAGCTCTTTAGTCGATACAATGACCTTGTCAGGAAATACAATTTATCATTGAGTCAAATGCTGATTGTAAGTCCACAATGAATTGACGACGGATTATTCCGGTATTTCCCTATCATGACAAGGAGCACACGGCGGGTGTGACCGGTCAGCAGGGAATGCCCAATCTTTCATGGCTCCTGATCTCACCTCTGGATGTTTTGGAGGTCCGTGTTTGCTCTATTCTTATTTTGTATTATTTGATGGATTTCTGATTTTGAATACTGTTCATTATTTCCATATGTTTCATGCAAACTTTGAGGATGAACTTGTATTTTAAAAAAAATGGAGCGAAGACCTACCCATATCGAAAAATAGAGTTTTAGTAAGAGAAAATGACACTTTTTACCATCTTTAGTGTGTTTGATACATACATGTATATCATAGGCAAATAATTTCAATCTTGGGAATTTTTTTGCAAATCGTAGATATTTTATATATATATTATATTTTAGTGTTAGATAAAAGATAAACGAAAATTTTGATATAATTGAATTATAATTTTTCACATTTATGTTTGTAACACTGTAGTTTTTTCGATCTTCATATTCACCCATTTTTATTGAATTTAGATGTACCTGGTATAAATTTTAACTTTCAAATTAAATTTTTCACCGATTTCGAACTTGAAAATCTTCCTGTTTCTGTAGTAAAATTGACATTAAATAGTCTGTTATTTATCGTGGAGTTGATATAAATATCTACCTTAAGGTTTCGTCAAAGGTCAACATGTTCAAAAAATTATTTTTACAATAGCCCCAAAACTATGTGCGGTATAAAGTTAAAATTTTTACAGTTTATAAATTTTTTTATTACTTAACAGATAGAAAGTATCACTTGATAAAAAAAAAAATACTTGGAAAAAATATTGATTGAGAAAAATTCTTCTTAAAAAAGCAAATATTTTCAAAAAAATACACCTATGCTCTTAGTGAAAACCATCACTGCAGAAACAAAATATGTTTATCAATGAAGGGCAAGGTGGACTTTGATACCTCTGGAAAGTTGTTTTCCCTGTTTATTTTGTCCAAATGTTAAGACTTGAAAGTGAAAGTAAATTGCAAATGGCGGATTCTATAGGGGTCTTGTATTTATACATGTCATGCTTTCAATAACAGCCTTAATTTTTCAGAGACCATTCACGTCCAACTTGCCCTTTCATGATAAACAAATATTATTTCTACAATGATGGTTTTCACAAAAAAGGACTGAATTATGCAGGTGCATTTTTTTAAAAAATATGCACGTTTTCTGATACAATTTTCTATAAAAAAAAATCTTTTTTTTTAAATATTTGTTTTCAAGTGATACTTTCTATCTATTAATCAATGGTTATTTATAAACTGTAAACGTTTTGACCTCATACCACACATAGTTTTGGAGCTATTGTAAAAATAATCTTTTAGTCATGTTGACATTTGACGAAACCTTAAGTTTTCTTTATTGATTTTTGATATCTTTGAAACTCGATTGATTTAAATTTTGTAATTTACAGGAATAACCTACCCTTGTATAAAAAAAGAAATAGAAACATTTCATTTTTGGTTATCTTAACTTATCAAATATACACCATTCGTATATGACATTTTAAAAAAAATACTGGAAGCAAATATATACATGCATTACTCATTCACAACTTAGAGGGTCAAAATTTAGTATACATGCTTATGCAGGCAATGTAAGTATCTAGTATTTTTTAATTGAACAATCGTGTCTAGATTGCATGTAAATTTATACAATATGTATCGGTTACACGAGAGTTAGAACAGGTAAGTTAGTGTGTAGTAAAGTCTGAACGAGAATTTTAAGCGTATAATTTATTTACATTGTCAGATTTCGTTCCGAGTATGAGGTCAGAAATTTCACCCAGGTCTCCAAATCAAAAGCTGTTGATATATTTAATATGGAGTAGACTTGTTAAAAATAAATTCTGATATAGATGACCAGAGGTGCATTTTAAAAGTGTTACATATAAATATCGAAATTAATACATTTTTATGCGTTATTTTACCCTGTGTACAATGTACTAAAAATCGCCGTAATAAGGTACACCGTGCGTGTAAACAACTTCTTGGCAATCTTGTTGGTTTTCTTAAACGTACAATTCAAAGGACCTATTTAAACATGATTTAATTTTTTCCCCATAATTAGCCATGTTCTGTTGTAAACAAAACATCGATAATGTGAGATTGACTAAAAAACAGTAATAAGATTAATGTGATAAACTTGTTACTACCTGCAGCAATCGCAACTTCTCGGGCCTTTCCGACAAGCGGAAAAACGACCTCGAATGTATATGGGAGACGCCATGACAACCCTCCTTTTTCACGATCTTTGAAATAAATGCATGGAGACCTTTTATCTGTAGAATAAGGAGTTTAACTTTATTCAATGTAATGATATTGCCTAAAATATACTATAGAAGGGACTTCTAACTTCGTCTATCCGATATTTGAATAAACAGGAAATGTATAAATTTTTAACATCCGGCGATGTTAATACATTCGAGGTTGTTTTTCCGACCTCTGACGGAAAGACCCGAGATGATGCGATTGTACCTGCAGCTGACATGTACATAATATTTAACGTGTTTTCCTTTGACACAGATATACAGAACTCCATTCGTACAATGGTAAATGTTTTCGAGAGTAAACTATATTTTTTTCATAAATTACATGTTTGTGATAAAAGACATGTCTTCATTTAAGCAAAAATGTTATTCTTTTTTCAATGGGGAATCAATGGGGAATCAAGTGTTTCAACTATTTAAGGAAATACTGAGTGTAATTTTTTTTTCTGCAGATACAACCATAAATTTATATTCAAAGTTTGCTTAAATCGACATCGTCATGAACAAACTGGAAAAATGATACACACAGAATTTTTGCATTTGTTTTAGTTCCTGAAAGTATCAATTTACAAATTACGGTAAACGGGTTTTTGGAACCTTATAAATTACTTTCATCAAAGAAAAAGAAAAGATATGATGTTAAAGTTTAGTTTTTTTTCATAAATGAAATTTTCCAGCGGAGTTTGAAAAGTACCCTCTTGTACTTATGAAAAATTACCAGTCCTTGCATGTTTTGAAAACTAGAATTTTTTAACCCATTTAAGATATTCTTTACGAAAATGAAAACAAAATATATAAAAACAAATTTTTAGATTAGGGAAATGTAATTAAAAAAACACAAATTGAAACAAAAATGGTTTTCCTTTACAAACGTTTTAATATCATTTGTTTAGCAGGGACATGGCTATGTAGTATTTTATGAAATGTAGACAACGAAGTTAGACAACAAAGTTAACAAAAACATCTATTTCAGGCACAACTGAAGAAGAATGAATTACATTTCTGTCTTTTATTACGTTGAAATATACTTGGTCACGTTTGCGTTTGGCTCAGACATTGTCAATGTGGTGGAGGTCAAGACGCCGTCTGGTTGGGTAAGAGGATATGAAGAACTCCTTGATGGCGGACAGGTGTACAGATTCGTGAAAATCCCATATGCCCAACCTCCAATAGGAGATCTACGTTTCCAGAAAACAAGACCTATCAAAGAGTGGGAAGGGGTGAAGGGAATTCGGGATGCAAATTCTCCTCAATGTTCACAATTGCAATTTCCATTACATGGAGTTGATGCCTTGGAAATAAGTGAAGATTGTTTATTTTTAAATATTTATGTACCAGGGAAAATTTCAGAAGCAAGAAACCTACCTGTGATGGTATGGATTCATGGCGGGGGGTTTATGATTGGTGGTGGGAGTCAGTACAAGCCCCAGAAGCTAGTTTTAGGAGGTGGTGTAATTGTTGTAACCATTAACTATAGATTAGGTCTCCTTGGTTTTCTAACATTGCATGACCCTCTAGCACCAGGAAATTACGGACTATGGGATCAGATTGAGGCTTTTAAATGGGTTCAGAAAAGTATTGCAGCCTTTGGGGGAAATCCTAAATCCGTTACTATATTTGGTGAGTCAGCAGGAGGCATGAGTGTGAGTCTTCAGACACTTATTCCATCAAACGAAGGACTTTTTCAAAGGGCCATTTCACAAAGTGGAGTTGTTTCGTTCTATTCCATCTCCCAAAGACAAGAGGAGAAAAAATTTAGTAATTTGCTTTTGGAGAGAACAAATTGTGCTGGTAAAGAAGAAGTTACAGAAACTCTTAAATGTTTACGAGAAGTGCCGGCCGAAAACATAACATCGGCAATATTCTTCAACGATTTTCAAGTTCCTTTAAATTCTACTTTTCAAATAGGAAGTCTTGTACCAACAGTTGATGGCGATTTAATCAAAGAAAATTTAATGTATCCGAAATCGTGGGACGACGAGACTTATCGCTTTTTCCGAAGCATCGATTACATATCAGGAACTCTAGACGGAGAAGGGAATTTGGGATATTTCAGTTTAGCTCCTAGCATTCAAGAACATTTCAAATTCAACACATCAGTACGAGTCCCTAAAAGTATTTTATGTGAGGTATTTGCACCAGTATTTGTTGAAACAGTTGCCGGGAATTTTCCAGAACTGACGCAAGAAATCTGTGATTTTTACACTACCTCTGAAGGGGATTTAGAACAAAGTTTGAAAGTATGCGACTTCTATGGGGACTCATGGTTTGTCGTTCCTAGCAACATCATGTTAGGAATCCATGCTAAGGATAATGATAAAGCAAAGACATTCCAATACTTAGTCACTAAACAATCCCCGTATCCATTTATTCAAAATCCGGCGCCCTGGTACAAAAAGGCTGGACATGGCGAAGAATTACATCTTATATTTAACATGACTTATAATGATATACCAGAGGAGACACTTAAGCAATATGATCTAGCGGCTGATGAGATGTTGTCTAAAGACGTTATTAAGTATTGGACCAATTTTGCTAAGAATGGGTAGGTATTTCTTCAAATTTGAATGAACAAGTAGATGTGTATCAGATATACATTGCGACAAAACATTTTTGATTTTACATTGATAAACAATTTTTTTTAAGAAAAGAAATTTTACTACAGAATTTTCAATTGTTTAAAATCCTTTCTTAAAAAGGATCTTCTCTTTTTAATTACTTTCAGGAATCCCAATTCAGATGGTCTTCCAAATTGGTCTTTCTTTGACACTATCACTAAAAAGTACGCAATTCTGGACACCCTAATCACAGAAGGTGAAGACCTGAAACCAGGCGCTACACACCTACTAAGAAAAGTCCTCGACAAAGGGAGAACTGAAGCCGTGCATGACGAGTTATAGATGAACTTTTCAAAAATACTTGATTAATTTGATAATGACTGAACTTTGACCGTAGAATCTGTTTGGTAGAAATATGAAACAAGTAATTGATAGATACCAATGACAGTTGAAAAAGTTAATTTTCATGAGAATGGGTAAAATTGTTTATAAATTTTCATGAAAAAGGGTAAAACTGTTTGTAATTTTACATGTTTTAAATTATGTTACCGTATATACTCGCCTATAAGTCGGTCCGCCTTTAAGTCGGTTGTATTTTTTGAGGTTATTTGGCAGGGATTTGCCATTGACCCGCTTATAAGTCGGTACAATTTTTTTCCAGCATCAGATGACAATTTCTAATAAATGCTCTGGTGTTTTACCCTGATTTCAATTAATATTTTGAGAAATGAAGTCGATATTTTACTTTGAATCATAGAAAATAGATTCTGTCCTCTTAAGATTAAAAATATTTTTTTAATAAATACATGTATACAAAATACATGTAATTTATGTATAATCTTATAATACATAAATGATATAATGTATCCATACTTTGTTCAACGATAGCTAATGAAAATGTTTAAAGAATACTATGATTCGCCAACTAGAAAAAATTCTGTCTTTTAATGACTCGCCTAGAAGTCGGACATAGACTTTTGGACTAAAATTTAACTCCGAAAATACCGACTTATAGGCGAGTATATACTGTATATTTATAATAATATGTATTAGTGTATTTTTAATGGTTCTTAATGGCATGAATGACTTGTAACACAGGTTGTTGTTTATTTCTACTGTTCAAATTAAAAGCATATAATGATATATGTACATATTTGTGTGATCACTTTTACAAAGTACATGCTTCTGCATGTAAGAACCCAAGTTTTAAATGACTGAAGTAAAGAAGATATTTGCTGGGTGTTTACAGTTTACATATTGTAATCTAAATTTCACGAGAAATATATTATTTCATAATTTTAAATTGCCTTAAAGACAATTTGTGGATTTTGCAAACGTGGTGTGATTTGTTTTCCACGTATTTAGATTATTAAAACAAAATTTCTATCTAATTCATACTCAAACCTTTCTTCTAGGATATTTATGAAATCTAGAATATGAAAGGTGCCTATGGTTTTTTTTCAAATTTGAGAATAAAGTGTATCAAAACATTTTTTGAGTATATTTAACAAATTAATGTGTTTTAAAATGTCACATTCATTTTAAAAAATATTTTAAAAAAACCAATAAATACATATGGTAGTTTAAGCCTTGTTAGACAAGACAGAATTCATCCAACTCACATACTGTCCCTCTTAATAATGATAATATATATAATCTTGACCTCTTTCTCAAATTATGTTTCATTGGTTAGAGGTATCGGAATTACTCTTCGCATTATTTTAAATTAAATTCCATGAAAATGTTTCATTTTCTTCACAATTTATGTATGACTGATATATTACTGATTCGGTGTTAACCAATAATTAAGCAATCTATAATTAATTCGTGAATAGCTGTAAGGCACAGGGCACAGGGTATATGAGTTTATTTAAACCAGAAAATTCATAATGTAGTAGTAACCCCATATAATACTGTTGGTTATATGCAGATACCCGATGGGCGTGGTCATAATGACACGAGGGAGCGCAGCTCCCGAGTTGTCATTATGACCACACCCATCGTGTATCTGCACATAATCAACAGTATTACTGTATATGGGGTAAATGACTTGTACCATAGTTTTCAAAAATCATTGATAAGTCAGCTTAGAAATTAGTCGGACTGGTTCGTGTTATTGAAAAATTGTTTGGTTTCAAGGATACATTTGGATTTTTATATGATTATATGATTATATACGTTGCCTCGTGTCCTTATGACCACCTTCATCGGGTAAGTGTTGTATACAATACTTTTCAATTGTGTGTTGTTTAACGTTCTTCTCGAGAATTTTTCACTCATGTTGTTATCTTGTCGGTGCATGGAGAGCTTCAAATTCTGTCGTATGCTCGACACTCAGGGTCATTGAGCAGTGAAGGATCTTCTTCGTGCCAACATCTTCTGCGTCACGGGACCTTAGTTTATACCACCTACGTCCCACAGAGGGAATCGACTCGATCCTTACTTCACGACAGGGCAGGTGCTCTAACCACTGGGCAATGCGGGCGACATAAAAATTAGATATATCTAAGTCAGTTTAAAAAGTTTGCCTGATTTATGTTTTGAAAAATTAACGAGTTTGGTTTCAATGATATAGCGCCCATAAAAAAAAGGAACGGATCGAGAATCTGACTTTAATGTTATCATGTTAATTTTATATGATTTTTTTTCTCTCGTAAATTTTAAACGTCGAAATCAAATAATTTAAATCTATTATGAACTTTGTTAAATTTTAACAGCATTGTAACCCAATACATACTTTGTCGTGCACAGTGGTACGTTGATTGAAATGTTTGTTAGGGATAGTGAATATTTCAATTTAATGAAAATTAGACCTTTGATCGGCTAGATCCGTGATCGAAAACTTAATTTAAGTATAGTAGTGTATGAAAACTTTTGTTTTTACGTCATGTAGGTACCGTGTTTCCTTTGTTGGTTATCAAAGGAACGATATTGGAATCTTGTAAGCTAACGTTACCCTGCTATGACACTATTTAGAGAGAAAAAAGAAATCAAACGATTTTTTTTCATTTCGAAAGTCAAGGTATTAATGCCCGGTTTTATTTTTTTATTATTACACATATAATGCTGTCTACAGTTGTTAATTTAAACTCTCCTGAATTTGGTATAACAAGCCAGGATGATTGTTTCATTTTGTACATGTGCATGATTTTAAAGTTCCTTTGTCCTGACTCAATGGGCGAAGTTACAAAAAAGTGTGGGTTATGTACAGAAAACCCACACTTTTAACAAAAGAAATCACACCTAACTATGGTCAAGAATTCAGTACCAGAAAAAGATTATTCAACTCTTTGCGAGAACTTGACCTTTCAACGAAAACAAATTGGCCAAGATCCTTTTCTGACCCCTGCTTTCGGGTGCAAAGCTTTTTAAATTCTTATAACATATAACAAAAATACTACCAGTTCGACATTAAACGATAATCAATCATCAATTCAATCAATTAATTCTTTTTACAAATTAAAATCGTAAACTGAGTATGTGATCATCAAACTACTATCATTAATATGGACGCATTTCTGGCTTTACCAATTTTCTCTACGTGACGCTAAAAAGTATATGAAATCAATTTATTTTATGGATAACTTCTAGGGTTGTGCTCAATACAACATCAATTTTTTTAGGAATTGGAATGATCATTTATTTAACTAATAAATGACAAAGTATTATGCCAAGAAATACATATACAAATTAAAAATAGAGCAAACTAAATGCACAATACCATAATTCAGTAAAAAGAGTTATGTCTCGTTAAACATTAAAAAAAAGGCAAAACCTTAAAAATAGAATATATAGAGTCATACACATGCAGTATTGGGACTAGAATAAGCCTACAGTTACAGGCAATTTTTATCCAAAAAAACTGCATGTATTTTAATTGGGTACCTTAACATATCAAACCAGTTACACATCTGTTTCATATTTGGATATTTTACTTGACACAGACGTTAATGGTAATCTAACAAACAAGCTCTATGATAAACGTGATGACTTTAACTTTTCTGTTGTCAGCTTACCTTATATGCAGCAATTTACCTTCATTGCCTGCGTTTAAAATTATCATTTCGTAAGTTCTATTGTCGATACATTGACCTTGTCAGCAAATACAATTTATCATCGAGTCAAATGCTCACTGACGTTTTATACTTATTTTAGTCCAATATTTATACACTGAATTGACTAATTTTTCCATTATTTCCCAATCATGACAAGGAGCACATGTACACGGCGGGTCTGACAGGTCGGCCGGGGATGCTCACTCCTCCATGGCAACTAATCCCACCTCCGATGTTTTGGAGGTCCTTGTTTGCTCTGCTTTTTTTTGTATTGCTTCATGGACTTTTGATTTCGGTATCTCCATGTGTTTCATTACTAGTAACCAAAGATTGAGAAAAGATTATCATTTTAAAGTAAAAGTGCACACAATTTCTCTTGTGGAGTCTATTAAATTATTGTAAATACGTGTCTAAAGATATAAAGATTGATCAATTAAACGAATATTGTTTAAAATCCCACTCGAGAATTACAGACGTCATTATACCCCCGCTTGAAAAGCGAGAGAGTTATAGTAATCAGGATGTCTGTCCGTCCGTCCTTCCGTCTGTCTCTCGTCCGTTTGTTACACATTGAGGTACCCATCTCTTATCCGCAACTCCTCTTATACCACTGAATGAAATTTAATGAGACTTTCAGAGAATCTTTATTACATATTGCCATTGTGCACTTCCTGTTTTACTTTTTGATCCGACACATATTTTGGGTTTCCCATAGCAAAACATGACGCTGCCATTATATTCTTACCTATGATGTGAGGTGTGGCGGCTTCTGAATAACATGGGACACCACGAGTAATTCCTCTTTACATGTAACCGTAAAACGATATAGAGAGGAAAATTTTCCATAGCAAAACATGAACACTGCCATTATATTCATATGGGAGACGGGGGTATCATTTAGTGAGCTCACTGCTCACAGTACCTCTAGTCTGATATGTAATGGTGTTATTAAAAAGGGAGAAAATTTGAAGTAGAACCATAAGATTGATTTTAACTTAACTTTATAGATTTCCATGAAGGTTATTACACCCATTCAAAATAAAGTTATAGACGAATCCAAGAAAAAAGCGCAAGGATATTCAGTGGGAAATGGTAGTGTCACCCCTTTTGTAGACTACAAATGGATCAATCCAACAGATTAGAAACGCAGAAAAAAATCTGTTGTATAGGGAAACCCAAAGAATAAACAAGTACATACAAAAAAAATTAAAAGGAAGTAAACACATCAATATTTTCCTTCAGTAATGCTCCCTCTATGAATAGAATATCCTTATATTGTGTGACGTTCGTGGCTTCAAATAACTAAAGAAGATAGTGTCCAAAGGCAAAATTCAAAATTTACTCAGACTCGGCTTTGAATCGTTCATTATACAAATGAGTATTATTTATGAAATAGTAATGGCAAACATGTATAATGGTAGAAACATATTTTTAAAGATTCCATAATTGTT